TCTATCACTCACTGGCAACCTTGCCAGGATACAAGAATTTTGTTGCTGACAATTAAATCAATGGGTTTGCTGCTGTTGTAGTTAGTTTTTTGACAATAAAGTCTCATCTACATTCAAATATACATACTTATCAAATAATTTAAGCTAGACATAATATTCTGTTTTAAATATTTTCTATGTGTGACCTCAAATCCTGTCAATTCATAACCTAGAAATTACCCTGGAAGCAAGCCAGGAATAGGGGTGCATGCCTATCATCCCAGCACTTGGGAGGTGAAAGCAAGATGATCAAGGTGTTCAAGGTACTTCCTTGGATTCACAGGTAGTTTTAGGCCAACCTGGGATACATAAGACTCTATTTCAAACAACAATACAACCAAGCTAACAAAACAAACAAACATGAAAACCAGATTATACAGCCCAGTGGTCCAGTAAGGGAGCTTCATGGCATCATTTTGAACTCAATGAATATCAGACAGTTAAGAAGTTTGAACAGGGCCCACAGTTAAACCTGCGAAGATAACTGCCATGTTCTCCTATTTTAAGTATTTATGCTTTGGCTTTTTCATAACATGATGAATGAGTTGTAAGACTCTTAATATCTGCACTAGCCAAAATTCCAGGAGAGAGGGCCACTAAGGAAGTAAAAAGAAGTGTTGAAGGGACCAGGCACTTGGGTAAAGATACTTCCGGAAATTTCTCATGAGCAAGGACCCTGCTTGAGTCATTGACACAATAGTAAGTTAAATATTGTTAAGTTTGGGGTTTATAATTCAATATTGAAAATTTAATTATATTGTCTGTTTTAAGGAGAACATTCTATGGGGGAAAAAAACCTAGTGAAATTTAGGAATTTGGGTATACTTGGGAAAAAGTGTTTTTAAAATGCATTAAACAAAAGCAGCTAGAATACAGATTGCTAGAAACACCCTAATGACAGTTAACACCCACAGACTCTAATTCCTGCTAATGTGTACTTTCTTTTTTCTGCCTTAGCTGGGCTGTACAGAGCACCCTCTTTTTTGTCCCCACCACCTTTGTTACAAAACAACACTTCCCTATAATACCCAGCATGCCTTCTTCCCACAGCTAGGATTACACAGAAGGTGGGATAGTCTCAATCCTTTGGAGGGGGTTATATATTGCTATAACATGCCCTAATTTTGCATTATATCTACCAGATCCTGTATCCCCTTACTGAATGACCCACTCATTGAGTTGCCTAAGCTACTGTGACTAAGCTACTTCTCAAGTATCTGGTTCCCATAGAGACAGAACAGCCACCACATTGTCAGGCATTTATTTCTTTCTATGCATGTAGAGGAAGGTGGAGCCACATACTTCCCTGACAATGGTCAAGAACATAAGTAAATCTGCACTCCAAAAAGAGGCAGATTGCCACTAAGCTACCTCCAGACTGAGGAACAAAAGGGATGCAAGCCATTCCAGTCAGCTTGGTTATTCTCATTGTTTAGAGGAATTCTGAACAAACCTCATATTTTTTCAAGGATTGATTATCTAATTTGAGAACAACTTCTGCCCAATTCTAGTGTCCCTTAATAAGTATAGTAAGAAGTTCTCTTGAACAGTTCTGGCTGCCTCCCAATGGCCTTAGCAATTCACTCCCTGAGCATCTCTGACCAGGAACTCCATCACCAGGCAAGGACTGCAGGTTGATAGTAACATCCAACACAGAGAAGATGCTGGGTAAATGTTTGGGAGGAAATCAGTCAAGGGCCTGAGGTGCTTCTGGTCCTAAGCTTCACAATGTTTATGTTAAAGCTGGTACCCCAGTTCTGCCCAGTTCTCCCAGAACATTGGCTTTACCTGCCAGCTGCCTTCTTGCTTGTCAAGCAAAGGTGTCAAAACTATCTAAGATAGCCCAAATCCTCAGGTTTTCCTGACAATCAGTTCATCCTTTTCCCAAAATACACACTATTATTCTGTTCATTGCTCAGGACACCACCTAGGAATCACCTTTCTCTCTTACGTGTTATATACCATCTCTGCCCAAATCTAAGTCACTTCTACATCCTATTCTCAACTCACAAAACAACCCCAAATACAACGGAGAGAAACCCCAGTTATTTTTCTTCCCCTGCCATTAACGCTCCATGCCTGTGCAAAGTGATATAAAGGCTGTAAATCACCTTCTCCCTTGAGATATCCCATGACTTCCTTTGTTTCCTACAGTGAAAGCCTTCATGCAGATGTCTGGGAGGCCCTGTGAACTCAGTTGGCATCCCTGGTCACATCTGTAGAAAGGCTCTATCTCCACCACCCCACTGTCACTCAAGCACCTTTATCCCTCAAATAGCAAACCCTTGCATTTGGTGTTTCTTCTGCTTAAAACAATTTCTTCTGATGGTCACAGTGACCTGAGGCCATTCTGGCTTCAGATGCAAAGTTATATGCAGGGAGTTTCTCCTCAAACAGGCTGCCTGGTGTCTGTGAGATTACAAGAAAAAGACATTTGGAAACCAGTCTAGAGTCCTGAGTTCTGTCGTTGGATCCCATTCGGTGGACAGAGAGAACTGACTATAAGGATTCAGACATTTATGCAGTCCTGCCCCATCACCTAGCAGAATGCACTCAGGCAGTACTCTGGTCAGCCCAGGGTTCCATGAGTACTAGTCTGCAAGCAGGTGCAAAGGACCCCTTTAAAAGAAAGACTTGCCTGCTTAGCACTCTTTCCTGCTCCCTTTCATGCTGTTCCCCTAGGGCATACAGGACTTCTGGCTCCCTCTTCTGTCTGTCCTCCCTCTGTCTCTGTGTCTCTTTATCTCTTTTAACTTTCCTTCCCCCCTTTCCCTTTCTAATAAAACTTCTCACTTAAGCTCTGTCGGCCTGGCATGTTTGTCCCTCTGCCTCTCTCACCCTTGAGCCCCACATGGAATTCGCTAAGGTTCCCCATGTACTTTGTCACTGACTCCCACGAGTTGTCCTATGACCTTCACATTCATGCCCATGTACACACAGACAATAAATAAAAGCTAAAATTGAAAAACAAAATGGGCTTCCTGAAGTTCTTGTTAAGCCCCATCAATGTGTCAATGAAGAGTAGAGTTATGGAGGAACCAATCAGAGCCCTAGTCTACAAACTGTATGCATGTGACTTTTGAAAGATATATGATAGAAAAACAACAACAAAAACCAAACTAATCATGTGCCCTACTACAATAACAGTAAATAACAGATGGAATCCTATTTGATTAAGTCTCAAAATACAAATGGCTGACACTTTAAAAAAATAACCTTTTGACAAATAGGGAATTACTGAGAGAGCCTTTTGCCTCTAGATTGCTGAGAATCTTAAGGAAACAATTTAAGCCAATGGTCCCAAGCTTGGTGGAAACTCCATATGCAAACCAATAATTAATGGCCACAGGCTTCCAGGAGGTCACTAGGGTGTGTGGTGTCACAACTTTATTCTAAGTTGGCCCTGTTGGTGGCTCTGAGAATAGTGGCCACTTTCTCTGTGCATCAGTGTGGTTTAGTGGGAACTTGTGCTTATCTGTGTGGTTTCCAAAAGCCATACATGTAAACAGTTGTTCTTCTCCACACTTCAGTGTGAGTTCTAGGAACTGCCATCTTTCCTCTTTAAGTGTAGGGACATCCTGTGTCTTAGATAAGATGATCACCAAGGCTCTACTAACTACTAGTAGATTATAATTAGCCTTTATGTTTTAGCTTTTCAAATGGAGATTGATATAAGCATAATACTAATACAAAAATGAACACTATCAATAATAACCCTGCAAGAATTCAGAGAATCCTTCCTGTGTTCACTTCCTAGCAGAGGCTGTTTTAAATTTTTTGACTCATGGGATCATTGACATAATTTTCCTTGTCTTCTCATAGAGAACTTAACAAATTCCACTGAATACAAACTCAAATGATGCGATAGTCCAGACCTTATAAGAATATGTGTGCACATGTTTATGCACAAGCACTCCAATAATTTTTGTGATTCAATCTATTGTTAATAATTAGGAAAGGTGGACACTGAAGCTTAAGGGACAATGTTACACTTTACCTCCAGACTTAAGTCAACATTAGGGATTAAATGTGTAGTTATTGAAGTAAGTATCTTGAAAAATGAATACATGGTTATATTTATAATGAAAGCTTATTTTTATAGTGTCAGCTTTGATGTTGATAAATCTCTTGTTTCACTGATATTTGAATTTGTTTTCTTGGGATCTAAACTAATCTTAGCTTCAAGGACCTAAGGCTCATTATTTCCTTAGCCATTAAAAAATGAAAAACAATATACACATGGTCATTTTAGAAAATGCCTAATGTCCAGTCCAAATAGCATGGTTTTGCTGGGAAAAGTATTTTTAAAACCAGCAAGCAACACACTGCAAACAATTTCTAAGGTTTTGAGAAACCCAAGTACCAGTGCACTCATAGGAGGTGAGCTGAGACATTGTTCTTTACCAACTCACCAAAATAAATATCATACTATACACATTAAACAACTCAAATACATGTGCATTGTTGCTACTGCCATTCAGGATCTTAGTGTCACATACTATTTACATTAATTTAGTCCCAACACCCAACCGTCACATAAAAGTATTCATAGTAGATATTTTAAAAGCAGAATACCAACCCTCCTAATCATGGCAGACAACAGCAAGCAACACTTACCCCACTTAATATTTTAATAATAAAGGACAAGGCCTGTAGAAAAAGAACAACCAAAGGGTCTTATCTTCTTATATATTTTAAATATCATCCCATCACTTTCCTCACTAAAATCTGAAGTAAGCATGAACTGAACAAAAACTATCTCATTTTTAAGACTTGAAAATAATCTTTCTGTTTCTTCATTTATGGGTTTTTGTCTTACGTGTGTATTTGTCTACACAAATAAGTCATGCTTCTTTTTAAAACTTAAATGTATTGCTTAAAGTTAAATGCCATTCATTGGACAAAAGTAAATAAGTAAATTCTAGCACACTTGCTCTACAGCAATTCAAAGCGGTACTCACCCTCCCGTATCTGTTGGCGTAGGACCCCGTGAGCAAGGAATGGAAAACAATGATCGTCTCATCCAAGTCCCAGATGAACACTCTCTACAAGGGAAGAACCGGGTAAATGCATCTTTGTTCTTGTTGGGAACACTGCTGTCACTTGATTTGGACATGACACAGTAGTGAAAGGACATACAAAAGAAAAATCAGAACTTATGCTTTTTTCAAACACAACTCTTCCTGATGGTGTCATCCAGCTTTTCACGTCTAATCTCGGAAGAGGCACAAGAGGAGCAGTGTATTCATAAAGTCAATATAATCATAGAAAGGGGATAGAATATGTATGTCTTTTCTATCCTGTATTAATTCTCCAGTTCAGTTCCCAGGAGATGAATGGTGACTTGAAACTAGAATGTTTCTTAGTTTTGAGAGAGAGAGAAGGATCCAGAATTGAAAGCCATTCAAAAGAGACCTTACCTCAGAAGATGAGAAGAATTAAAAATAACTGTTGTGATTTACTCTAATTGATTAAAAGAGTAAATATTTCATACAGAATTTGAAGCTTTACCTAGTTCATTCACCTTATGTGAGTGGTTAGACAGTTATCAGAAGGATGGGTTATACGATTGGTTCTAAGTATGTATGAGTTCTGCATCCAGCAGTGGAGATACTTAGAAAAACAAACTGTATCTCAACTGAACATGTTTATACTTATTATTCTATAAACAGTCCAGGACAAAGCCTTCTACATATAATTTATATTTAATTTGTATTATAAGTAGTCCAGACAAGGTTAAAACTGTTGGGAGATGTGAGATACTGCTCAGAGGTAGACAGCTTGCCTAGCATTAGTCAGGCCTTGGCTTCAGCTTCCAAGATATGCAGCAAACAACAGGGAGACTGCATAGGGCATGTGTGAACAGCTCATTGCATATGGGGGACTTGAGCACTGGTGAACTTGGGTATCAACAGGAGGGTCCTTGAGCCTATCCCCTGTGGATACTGAGGGGCAACTATATATTTTTCATTGGGTGTTTTCAGTCTTCAAAATTAAGCAGCCAAGTCATAATACTCTTATATAATCAAGGGGGCAGTATTTTGAGCTGGATTTGGAGTTCATTTTCAAAAAGTCCTTTGAGATATTACAAAGTCTTCCTATCTTACTTCTCTCCTACCTATTCCTCCTCGAACCCACACATGTTCATGTACATACACGCTGCTGGAAAATGTTCATCTTTTCAGCCAAAATAATGAAGTTTTCCACCATCGTATTTTACTTCTGCAAAAAGCAGAAGCTTAATTGCAATGGTTTCAAAGGCAATGAAATCTGCCACCTTGTCAGTTCTTGCTTAATCCTCTTGCTTTTGAACTACACCAAAACATGTCTCAGTAGCTGATTATCATTTCAGTTTAGAACATTCCAGATTTCCCTTTCTCAATGTACACAGCTTAGAAAAGCTCTTTTCAGATGGCACTTACTTAATTGAAATGGCAGTTATACACAGCGGTGTGGTACAGTTTTGTTCAAGCAGAGCTGCAAAGTTTGTTTAGATTTGTGTTTTGTTCTGAGTGAGACAGAATGCCATGTAGCCTAGGCTGGTCTCAGACACACCATGAGCCAAGAATGACCTTGAACTTTTGATCCTTCTACATTTATCTCCTATGTGCTAGGAATATGGGTGTATATCACCACATCTGGCTACTATATTTCTTGAGAAAAAAGGAAATAGATGCTGTATTGTATAGACAATTATGAAAGAAATACAGAAGTAAAAAATTACAATAAATCCAGGAAGACACTCAATGGTACAGCACGTATGCAGGTTGTTTGAGGTCTTGTGTTCCATCCCCTGTGCTATAGAACAACAGCAGAAATAGCCACTAGGAAAGTGTATCAACTATGAAAACTATGTATGAAAGAGGAAAAATTGTTTTACTTTGTTAATAGGAACAACAAGCAATGACCAAAGTTTTGGGGTATTTGCTGATGTTCACAGGCCAATTCTGTTAACCCACTAGTGAGCAATGTGTCACCTCATTCCTTATTTGAATATGGACAATGACATACCTCAAGATCAGAATCTGGGGGAGGTGAGGGATTATTATTTCTCCTGCCTCGGCCACGCGACTTCCCATCAGAACCTCGACGCAGACGATCTGAATCCGAATCTTTAATGGGTGTTGAAGGGCTGTGGATCGTACTGTACTCTGTAAAAACATAAGAGGAACTTTCAAGTCCCACCACCATGGTGCCAAGAAGAGCCCTGTTTTAATTCACAGGGAAGCTTAAAAAGCAAAGCTCATTCCACTTAGTTTAAATCCTACATTATTGTCTATTTGCATTTGGAAACAGCTTAAGAGATATGAGAATCTAAGACTTGTTTTGAAAGTGCAGTGTGGTCAGAAGCCATTCAACTTTAACTAAGAGTGTGACACAGCAGGCTGTACTGCATTGCCTCTATTTTCCTGGCATCCCGTGATAAGATGTTGTTCCTTCCCTAGTGGTCTCCATTGCTCACTTTCCCAATGGTCTCCACTGCTCCTTCTCCAATGGTCTCCACTGCTCCTTCCCTAGTGGTCTCCATTGCTCACTTTCCCAATGGTCTCCACTGCTCCTTCTCCAATGGTCTCCACTGCTCCTTCCCTAGTGGTCTCCATTGCTCACTTTCCCAATGGTCTCCACTGCTCCTTCCCCAATGGTCTCCACTTTTCCTTCCACAATGGTTTCCATTGCTCCTTCTCCAATGGTCTCCACTGCTCCTTCCCAATGGTCTGTACCACTTCTATCTGATTCCATAAATGGCCCTGGCCACCCGGGGAGCCTGATATTTGATTCAGCTGTGGCTCCCCTAGTTACAAACAGGATTCTGGTTCATGGGGAGAGATTAAAAGACAACCAGCCCCAGGGCAGGGAAATCTGAGTCACAGGACAGATTTTTCTTTCCAAAATTTAAAATCACCACTTTTTCCCTCATTTTATATGAGAATACAAGTTTGACCTGACAAGGGGAATAGACTTTTAGACAAAGCCCACCTTGGTCTAGTACCCACCTGGGCCCTTCTTGTGTCTTAATCTCTTTGAAACAAACATCCAACATCAGGCATAACATTAAAATCATTCATCTGGCTGATTCAAAGAAACCACTGGAAAAATTACATAGAAACCACAACTAATAAAGAACAACTCCAAAAAGGCTGGAAGGAAGAATTGAACAGTTCTAGATTTTGTAGAAGATTTTTATCCTGAGTCCAGAATGAACAAAACCCACTCACTTTCACCTCTTACTATATTCCCTATTCCCATCAGATAATCTCTACTCTACCCAAGTTTCAGATGGCCCTGGGATGGCTCAACCCACAAGGCTTTGAGCCACATTCCTTTACTAGATAGGGATGGGAATCTATTTAATATGAATATTAACTGTAATCTTTCTAACTGTAATCTTGGTGATCATACTTTACTAGACAAAAACTATGAAGGGCAATTGAATGCATGGAAGCCTTTACTAGTAGATCCTCAGGCCCATCTCTACCTCATCCTCAGTCTTAACTCTATCTCATCCTCAGGCCTAACTCTACACCAGGTTCTCCGAGATAAAAACATGGATGCTACCATTACTTCCAAACCCAGAAATGCTGCTCTGAAGCTTTGTGAAAGACGATACAGGACAGAAGACGTCCACAAGTCATTTCCATTTCTAACTCTCCTGAACATGCTCTGCAATTCTTGTTAAATCTTAGTAACTCAGCAGATGCCCAGATCTCAGGAGAGGGCATTGCATGTCTTCTTCCATCACAAGAAAATGGTAAACATCCTCATATAAACTGGCCATGGGACTCACACCCAGAAATAACCAGGAAGATGGACAAGCAAGTTATTCTCTTGTTTTCATCAGAAAGTACGAAATTGCTAGAATTCAATTTTTGAGCTAACTCATTTCACAGAAATGTTAGACTCAAACATAAAGAAGAATAAGATTAGGTCATTCTCAGGAAAATTGACAAAACTGGAGATTATCAAGTCATGAGAACTAGTCTGGATTTAGAAAGACAAAATTTTGTATATTTTCTGTCATATTCAAAACTCGGATTAAAAACTTGTGATGTGAAAGCACAAAGGGTGTATTCATTGTGAAGACGGGGACAAAGATGAAGGAGGATGAGCAAGTACACATATATGTATATATGTACACACATACAGAGAGAGAGAGAGAGAGAGAGAGAGAGAGAGAGAGAGGGAGGGAGAGAGAGAGGTAATATGTAGCTAATCATCCCCTAAACCAACATTAACATTGTTTTATTGCAAAGACGGACTGGCAAGGCACAAGTACCCTCTCTTTAAGGCATTCTAAGCAAGTGTTTCCTTTCTGTATTTTAGAGAGAATAGTGGGCTCCAAATGAATATATTTTAGTGGTCAAACTGATTTAAAGTTATACTTTTGAAGAAAATGTCTTATCCTTGCACTTTAAGAAATATTATACAATGTGGAATATGGGTGGCCCTCATGTAACATTGGACATATGGACATCACTACCATGGCTTCAACATGAAGCATTCATTGTGCAGAGTTGGAATCAGATGCAGATTGTAATCTAAGTTCTTCACTGTAAGATCTACCATAAGCTGGGGACTCTCCCCAGCTTGTGAAGAGCCTATCTGAGAGGAGCTGAAGACATCTAGTGCTGTATCTTGTCAAGTAGTGACATCTGTATGGATTTCCAGATTGCTTTACTTTGTCCACAAATATCAAACTTAGATTTTATCGCCATAAATTTTGTTACTGTCTACCACTTTATCTTTTTCATGTATATTTGTCTTTAAAATACAAATTAAAGTTAAAAAATATTGCCATAATTTTTTTGGAAATAAACTATAGTTAAATATAGTTAATTGAGTTCATTGAGCAAAACAAGAAAAATTATGCTGTTATTTTTCCTTGCAGAGGAAAAATGATTTTAAAAGATTAACAGTTTGACATGTTTTAATATTAAAACATATATTTTCACAACCTAGAAACCTCTCTTTATTAGGAGGGAGATGACAATAAAACTGATACAAGCTAGTTTTATAAACATCTCTTCCTTTGTGTTCTATGGAGTAGAATTAAATGCTTCTAACTGGAAACCAGCTTTACTGATTCTAATGTCTTCTTCCTGCTACTTGTGCAAAACAACTCAGCTAATTTAATCTTCTAATCCACCCACTACTCATGTTTCCCTAAACCCTCTCCAATTGTTTAGTTTTACCCACAGTGAGATGTGGGTGTGAAAATATTGTGAAGAACATTCATGTCCTTTAAGAAACACTGGTTCCATGTGGTGCTCACAGGCCTAGACCAAAGTTCTGCCTTTAAGGGCTGAAAATTCACTGACTCATAAATAAACACAAGGGGATAAAATCAAAGGGAATGGTTACAATACAGGAGAGGTGGAATTCTTCAGACCATGAAGGACATCCACATAACTCTAATCAGGACAGATGCACCAGGAGAGAAAGAAGTGAAATGTGCTCTGGATAGGGGCATGTCAAGGAAAAGAAAAAGAAAAGACAAAACAAACCAACAAAAATGGTATGATCTGGGTCTACAGAGTGTATAACAAGGCAGCTGGAGTAACCAGTGAAGAATTCAGCCAAGGAGAGGGAAGCGTTAGCTCTTTGATGGCAGGAGACTAAAGACAAGTTATACCCAAGAGTAGGAGATAAAGGAGCAGATAATTTAGGAGTTCACAAGAGGGAGGAGTGTGGTCTGGACACAGGTGTTGCCATATGGGTGGTGATCGATCTGAGTCACCATCAGAAGGCACAATCAGTAACTAAGTGGATACAAAAGAAGTCAAGGATGATACATGTGACTGTGATTTTCCAACTGGGTAAACTGGAACACTGAGGATGAACGGATTGCCAAGGAGAGGAGAACCTCAAGATTAGCTTGGAAATAATGAGTTTGAAGAGGTTATGATCATCCATATAATGTTTGGTAAGGCTACTAAAGCTCAGGAGAGAAGTGTAGACAGGGTTTAAGTTTGAAAAACTGACACCAACTTAAAGGAAGGAATGGGAAGAAATGCAGCCTGCATAGAAGAGATGGGTAGGGAGAGGTGGTGGGGTTGGGAAAAGAGAAACTAAGGGGAATGGAGAGGAAGCAGTTTGTGAGGAAGGAGAGGACTCAGATAAGTTGAGAGACAAGAAAATAAAGATGGAACCCAACAGGAGCATAGCCTTAGAGTAAGAGATATTGAATAAAAATGCTAACCATGTAGGCTTGAGAGGGTAGAAAATTAAACAGGAGGAAAGATCCTATGGTTACTGGTAGCTCTATACTTCTTCCTAAGCTCTGCCAACTTATCTCCCCTCTCTGCTACATTGTTGACCAACTCATCATAATTTTAGTGATTGAAACTGTTCTTTAGCATTTTCATTTGTGTTATATGTCATGTTTACTCTTACTCCTGACATTTCTTTCTTCCTGTCTATCCAAGTAACCACCAACTCCCTACAAATTTCTTTTCTGTATCCATGCCTCTTTTTCCCCCCTTTTTTTGTGACCCTAAGGACTTCCAGTGTAAATATAGGTCTGGAATTATCTGATGAAGTCTAGTGGGCCCACTATTTGATATACACAGGTGCTTCTCATGTCTAACTCTTTCTTTACTACCATGGAGCAGGTTACCCCACTATTTCTATCAGCTAGGCAAATCACACGAAGGAAAGGTCTCATCTTCTTTAAGAGCTCACTTAAAAGCTAATGTTCACCTATATAGTTATTTAATACCAAAACCTGATATAGGACCAATAGAATTCATCATTTGCCAAAACACTGCAGAAGCTTTCCATTAAGTTTTCAACTTTGAAAAGAAAAACAGGAGGCCTAGAACTCAAAAGAGTCCAGCTTGGCCCGTAGTTCTACTTGAATTTTAGGAATGTGGTTTCCAGTTTTCCCAGATCTTAGTCTCCTTCCTTATCAAACTGAGGACACAGCCTGGGGTGTTGAGCTTTAAAGTTCTCTTATCTTTGGATGTGCAGTGGTAAAACTTTCCTAACAGTAAGCTCTTGGTCTCCCCTGCAATAGTGTAGTCAACATAAAAATAAAAGAGTCTCCTGGGGGAAGTATAGCCTCCCAGTTTATTTCCTGCTACATTCTGGCCAAATACATCATGCCGTCCTCAACTTGCCATCTGTAGCTCACACACAGTGCCACATTATTTTC